ACTACTACTACTACTACTACTACTACTACTACTACGACTACTACTACTACTACTACTACTACTACTACTACTACTACTACTACTACTTCTACTACTGCTGCTGCTGCTGCTGCTGCTGCTGCTGCTGCTGCTGCTGCTGCTGCTAATACTAGTACTAGTACTAGTACTAGTACTACTACTACTACTACTACTACTACTACTACTACTACTACTATTACTGCTACTACTACTACTACTACTACTACTACTATTACTAGTACTACCACGGCTACTACGACGACTAGTAATACAACGACTACTACTACGCCGAGTACGATAAGTACGACTACGACTACGACAACGACTACATCTATTACTACTACTTCAACTGCTAATACCAGTGCTGCTGGAAATGCTTCTAATACTGCCACGAAGAACGCCACACATGGAGCGAAGCCCGTCGCCTCAGAGAACGCCTGGTGTCAGGAGAAGCGGGAGAAGAGCCACCTTGGAAAGACCAACAAAAACAACGAACCCCGTCCGATACCACAGTTTCCCATACCGAACCTGGGGGTGCGGTCTGGACAGACTTTCGAAGCGGACCCGACCGTGGCAACGAGGGCCACCCAGAAGGCCCAAACAGGGGAACACGAAGCAAGGATCAGTGGCATCGGCACCTTTCCCCCGACTGAATTCCTTCTTGTAGCGTCATGAGGATGCGACTACGGCGGGCACGGCCCTGGCGGCTGCCGGCTGCGGCCGCAGGCGGCGGCAGCGACCTCGGCCACGGCTGGCGGCGGCGGTTGGCAGCGGCGGCTGGCAGCGGCAGCTGGCGGCGGCTGGCAGCGGCGGTTGGCGGCGGCGGCGACCGCGGCCGCGCTCCTGCGCCTGCTGACCTGGATCCCGGGCCGACGGCGGCGTCGTCGGGCGCCCGGGAGGCACCGCGGGGTGCTCCACCAGTAGCTCCTGGGGGCAGTATTGGGGGCCAACGCAGCCTGGGGGCTCCGACTATGTTTTTTTGCTCAGCTCCGTATTGTTTTTTCCGATGTCGGCCCTGGGGGGCCGTGTTCGGCACCCGGGGATCATCAACATTGAACCCGGACAGCGGAATACCCCCTGGGGCCGCGGATCGAAAAGAAAATAGATCGGCGGATGGCATGGGGGCCGCCACAGCCAGCCTCGATCTCGGAGGCTAAGAGTTATGTTGCTCGCATCGCACTTCAGGACCACATCCCAGAAGTAATTTCGAGCACCCAGAAAAGCGTCGAAAGAGTGCCAGCAGAGTGCCGGAACAGTGTCGACAAAGTGTCCCCCAGGGCCCGACACGTGAAAACCCTCAAGTTTTGGTGTGTGTTTTCTCGGTGCTCGAAACTCACTCTGATGATCAAGGCAACGGTAGGCTGGAACACCATCGGGCTAGAGTCTGGGCAATTTGCTCCGCGTGTCGCGGCGGCGGCCCCTGGCGAGATGCTGCGCCCTGCAGGCGGAAAGCGTGTCGCTCGGGGGGGAGGAGGAGGAGGAGGAGGAGGAGGAGGAGGAGGACGAGGAGGACGAGGAGGAGGAGGAGGAGGAGGAGGACGACGACGAGCAGGAGGAGGAGGACGAGGAGGACGAGGAGGAGAGGAGGAGGAGGAGGAGGAGGACGAGGAGGACGAGGAGGACGGGGGGCTCGGAAGAGCTCGGGCCGTGGATGCTCGGGGACTGGGACGTGCGTGGCGCGTCGCGTCGAAGCGCGGCGCGACCCGCTGAGCAGGCGCTCCTCCTCCTCCCTCCTCCTCCTCCTCCTCCTCCTCCGCCCTCCTCCTCCTCCCCTCCTCCTCCTCCTCCTCCCTCCTCCTCCCTCCTCCTCCCTCCTCCTCCTCCCTCCTCCTCCTCCTCCTCCCTCCTTCTCCTCCTCCTCCTCCTCCTCCCCCTCCTCTCTCCTCCTCCTCCTCCTCCTCCTCCTCCGTAGCCATTTTGGCTCAAGTCATTTTGGCTCAAGGCTAAACGTAACGAAGGTTCGGTGAACCGAGGTGTTGCGATTAGCTTTGAACCCGTCCGTGGGCATTTCTCGAGGTCGCCAGGCGGCCTGCCTCCAGGAGGCTATTTCGCACTCACGATCCCTACTGATCGAGCCCCCAGCCCGCTCTCCAGCCAGTCATGGGGCCTCCTCCCGCGAGCAAGGCAGTGCTGCGTGGGCCGAAGCTCCCGACGTGGGCGTGCGGGAAGTGCGACCGCACGGCCAACTGGGCTTGCCGGGTGGTCTGCGCCTGCGGGGCCAAGGCGCCCGCTGGAGTGGCCAAGAAGGCGCGCGAGGCCCACGAGAAGCTCGAGAAGGGCGGTGGCGGGTCTCACAAAGGGCAGGGTGGCGGAGTGGGGGGTGCCGACCTCACCGCAGCCATCATGGCCCTGCGCAAGGAGGTGGCCGAGCTCAAGAAGGGCCCTGGTCAGCCGCACCCGGCGCCGAAGCCCGAGGAGGCCGCGCCAGACGACGACCCTCTGCTCATGCAGATCGAGGTCCTGGAGGCGACGCTCGTCGGCTACAAGAAGGCCAAGATCGAAGGGGAGCTCGTCACAGCCGTTGAGGCGCAGCTGGGGGCGCTGCGCAAGAAGCGGCTCGAGGCGAAGTCGCCCCAGAGCCAGGTCATCTCCCTCAACGGGAAGCTCCTCCGCCTGCAGAGCAAGAAGGAGCGCCTCGAGAAGTCGAAGGTGGAGAAGGCAGAGGCAGTCAAGGAGGCCAGGGCCGCCTTGGACAAGTGCCTCGCCGAGGAAGCCGAGCTGGCGACCGACCTCGCCAGTGTCGAGCAGGCCATCACGGCTGCCAACGCCGAGGTCACCTCGGCTGTCAAGCAAGTGGCCCAGGCAGGCAGCGGCGAGCCGGCCCTCGACGCCGCCCGGCAGGAGCAGATCGTCTCGGAGGTGCTCGAGGGCAGCGCAGCCGGCAAGGCCTTGGGAGCTGGGGCTTCCAAGATCCTCTCGGACCTGCTCGGCAAAGCGCTGGCCAAGGCTGCTCCGCCCGTGGCTCCTGTTGTTGCTGCTGGCTCTGTCGGAGGGAACGGAGGTGTCGCCGACCCCGCCGCCGACGAGGAAATGCCAGAGAACTTCGACTCCGCGACCACTGACGCCCTGCTGGCCGCTGCTACGGGACCCGACGCCAAGCGGGCCCTTATCACGGCCATGGGGGAGCTCAACATGGTCAAACGCCCGAAGCGCGGGTAATCGACGCAAGGGGCGAGCAGATGTGCCTGACGCAGCTCGCCCCCGGACAGTCGATCCAGTATTGCCAGTCACGCCAGACCTCGGGTGTCCGCAGTCGAGTTCAGGGGGGCGGGCTGGTAAACCTTTCAATTTTGCCACTGTGAATGTTACGTCGTGGGGGACGGGCACTCAAGTGTTGGATGATATTCAGGGTTCGCCCTACTCCATATTGTTCGTGCAGGAACACAAACTTCGCGGTGACCGACTTCGGGAAGCCAAGAAGAGTGCCCTGTCCAGAGGGTGGCTTTTTGCAGGTGACGAGGCCGCGATCAAGGAGACCAAGCCCAGCGGCGGGGTCGCCATCCTGGCTCGCAAGCACCTGGACTTCTGGTGGGACCCGCTGGAGTCCTGCTTGGTCGAGGGCCGCATCAGCGTGGCCTTTTTGCGTTTGCCCCACGTCGGGGCGCTGGCCTTGTCCACCGTGTACTTGGAGACGGGGGTCGGGCTCGACGGGAACGAGATGGCCCTCCGCACGCTGGTCCACCACACCAGGGTGCATCAGCTGCCCTGGCTGGCCGGGGGCGACTGGAATCTGGATCCTGAGATGGTTGCTGGGTTCGCGGGTTTCAATGCGGCGGGCACGCAGATCATTGCGCCTGCCGAGGCCACCTGCCATGGAGGGCAGGACACGCACACTGTCCGCGACTTCTTCGTGGCTGGCGGGTGGCTTGGGCTGGCCTGTGCGCGCCCGACCGCTCGGCCAGAGCACCTGGTGCCCACCCACGACCTGGTCCAGCTCCCGCTCAAGGGCGTGGGGGATTGGCCCACCGTGCGAGCGGCAGCCCGACCTCCTCCGCTGCCGGCGGAGAGGCCCGTGTGCCCACGCGGCGCGCCGCCCGACTGGGGGCCCACGAATGCGGTGGTGCGCCAGGCATTGCAGCGTGCCGAGTCCGACGCCCTCCCCATGCCGCAACGGCAGGAGCTCGTCAACCAGGCGCATGCGGCCTGGCTCCGCACAGCTCGGCAGGACTTCGGGGCCATCGTGGACGTTGAGGCCCCGGGCATGCAGCACTGGGGGGGCGCGCTGACCTTTGAGGACATGCCCCTCGACAAGGCGCTGGCCACGCCCAAGAACCCGCGGAGGCGAGCCAGCGCAGGCATGCGCTGGCTGGCCGGCCAGCTGAGGCAGCTGGCAGGGCGCCTGGGCGAGGTGCTGCGTGGCGACAAGCGCGCCCGCGCCGACGTGCTGGCCAACGCGGGGCGCTTGCGCGCTGGCTTGGCACGCGGCGGGCAGTTCGAGTACCATTTCGCTCGGCAGCCGTGCTGGGCCGAATGGGAGGCGCTCCTCGAGCACATCGCTGGTGCGGTTCAGGCGGGGTGCCACGCCTGGGTTGGGACGGGGACCGCCGAGGTGCCTCGCCCGACGTTCGAGCTGCCGGGCCTGGCCCGAGACACCCCCCGGCAAGTCCAAGATTTTCCAGAAAATTCCCAGACTTCCCTGCCGGTGTCGGGGGCAGCCCAGGACGCCGCCGCGCCCCCCCTGCCGGCGGCAGATTTCAGTAGTGACCTAAGGCAAGTTAGGTCACCTGTGGGCGGGGCGCCGGCCGTGGCCGCCGGGAGGGCCGCTGGAGCCGCTGCCCAGGCCCCCGGGGCTGCCGCCGCGGCCGCCGGAGCCGCCCTGGGCACCCCCAGGAGGCTCGAGCTCGCGCATGCCGACCTCAGCGACGGCGCCGAGGGCGAGGAGGCGGGGACCGCCGAGGTGCCTCGCCCGACGTTCGAGCTGCCGGGCCAGGCCCTGCATGGGGGTGCAGAGGCGAGGGTCGCCGACTACGCCCACCCCCGCGCTGGGGCGTGTACTCTGGACGGGGAGTGAGACCCCTTCGACGCGCTGGACGACGGCGACGAGGGGCCCCCCGACGACCCAGGCGGCCGCGCCGGAGCCCCAGCTCGCGGGGCTGCCGGGGCAGTTGGCGAGACCCCTCTGGCGGAGTGTGGCCGGCTGTACCATGCCGCGGTTCGGGTGCTGGCGGCCACGGCGGCCCGCCTGTGCAAGGAGTACCTCATGGGCGTCAGGCGCGGCGGGGCCTCCTGGCGCGAGGCACTCGTGGAGGATCTCGCCAAGGGCGCGCCGATGCTGCACAAGTGGACGAAGGACCCAGGCAGCGGCGACCCCGAGCTGACCAAGCCGGGTGGCTTGGCCCACGATCGGGCCGCGGACCCCGTCGCGCTGCTCGAGAAGTACCGCGCGGAGTGGCGCGGGCACTGGAACGGGCTCAGTCAGGAGGCTGCTGCCGAGCGCCTTACCTTCGTGCAGGGGGCGCTGGACGCGATGGTGGCCGACGAAGGCCTGGGGCATCAGCACCTCAGGGTTTCGGCCGAGGACGTCTCCAAGGCGGCGTCCCAGTTTAAGAAGGGAACCTGCACTCCTGCAGGGACGCACCCCCGCCACCTGGGCTGGTTCGACGATCTCGCGGCAACGGCGGACCTGCTCAACCTGGTCACTGCCACGGGCATCATGCCCGAGTGCGAGCAGGAGCTCCTGTCGGCGCAGTACCCCAAGCCCCTGGGCGGTGGCAGGCGGCCGATCGGCCAGTTCAAGGCCCTGTACCGTGTATGGGGCAGGTGCCAGAGAGGTAAGTTGCGTGCCTGGCAGCGCGCGCTCGACGACTGGGGCATCCTCAATACGGGCGAGGGCAGGAAGGTCACGGACTGCGTCTGGAGGTCGGCGGTTCGCGGCGAAGCCGCCGCGGGGCTTGACCGCGCCTTCCTCGTTCTCCTGTGGGACCTCGCCAAGGCCTTCGAGAAGGTAAACCACGCCAAGCTGATCGACCTGGCGAGGCGGGTTGGCTTCCCTGCGCCCATCCTGCGGGTGGTGATCAACGCCTACCGGTGGACCCGCTACGTCGTCATGGATGGCATCGTGGCGAGCGGCATCCTACCCGACAACGGGGTGGTGGCAGGCTGCTTTGCCGCCACGTACGCGCTGGCCGCCTATTTGATCATGGATCTAAAAGCCCAGCAGGAGCGGCATCCCGAGGTGCTGCTGTCGGTCCACATCGATGACATCGGCCAGGAGGTCACGGCCGACTCGGAAGCTGAAGTCGTGCAGCTTCTCGGGGACAGTGCCCGAGACCTCAAGGCGGCGATGGAGCAGGACTTGGACATGGTGCTGGCCGGCAGCAAGGGCACGCTCCTGGGCAGCACCGTGGCGTTAACGGAGCGGGCGCAGGAGGCCTTGCGCAGCCTCGGGCTGCCCGAGCGCGCGGGACCGAGGCGCGCCCGGCGAAGCGGAGCGGCCGCCATGCGGCACTTGGGGGTGGACTTCCGCGCAGGAAGGCGCGCCCGACCGCGAGGCGCCCGCGCTGGCAAATCGGCCGGGGTCGTGCACCGCGCGGGCCCTGTCCGCAAGACACGAGTGCGGCTGGGCAAGGCGCGCCTGCGCAAGGCGCTGCGGGCCGTGGCCCAGGTGGCGGGGTGCAGGAGGATCTGGCACACCGCCATCCTCCCCTCGGCCCGCTGGGGCGGCGAGGTCACGGGCTTCGCGGACTCCGAGGTCCAGGAGCTCAGGTCTCGGGCCAAGCGGCACTACGGCCACCCCCACATTTCCAGCGACATTTTCGGCGCGCTGCAGCCGAAGCTGGACCCGTTGGCAGGCACGGTCTCCATGGGGGTGGTGCGCTACGCGGAGGAGTGGTGGCGGACCACCGATCAGCGCCAGGCCAACGGCCGAGTGCTATCGGCCAAGGACCTGCGGAGCGCCTTCGACGTGGCCTCGCAGGACCTGGACAAGGACTTGCCCGAAGCGGGGCCTATTGGGGCGATGCTTCGGTCGCTGAAGTGGGCCGGCTGGGAGGCTAAGCATGCCACTTCTTTCATCTCGCCCACGCTAGGTGAGCTCTGCGTGCTCAGCATCGGGCCCAAGGAGATTGGCATGTATTTCGAGCTGGACGTGCTGGCGACCACCACTGCTCGAGCCGACGTGGCCGCCAGGTCGCGGCACGCCCTGGCGGATGACCACCCTGGCATCTGGTGGGAAGGCCTGCGCGCGGTCGTCGAGAACAAGTACGTGACGGCCCTCACGCGGCACGTGGTGACCTCCTTGGCAGGCGGGACCTACATGACGAGGCAGGTGGCCCACCAGTGGGGCTACCTGATTGCGCCGGCGTGCCCGCGCTGCGGGGTGACAGATACGCCCGCCCATCGTGCCCTGGGCTGCGTCTGCTTCGAGGCCGGCCGCTTGGGGCAGGGGGAGAATTGGACCGAGGCTGTGAAAGGGTGCGAGGCGTGCCACGATCCTCTCCTCATGTCTCACCTCCTCCCCTCGCTGCCTGATGCTGCTGTCGCCCTCCCGCCCCCTGCCACGATCGTCAGGGCCTTTGTAGGCGAGGAGGAGGTTGGTTTGAGCAGCTTTAAGTTTGTCCCAGGGGAGCCCGTGGCGGGGGATGGATCGGCGTCGACCTCGATTCTCGCTTCGCTTCGGAGGGGGGGGTTCGGTGTGGTGCAAAGGGACCCCGCCACGGGCTGCCTCCGGCGCCTGTTAGGGACCGTGCCCCCGCGCATGGCCCAGTCCGCTGTTGCTGCCGAGCACCTCGCATTCGACCGAGGGGCATTTTTCAGCGACGGATCGTGCCCCTATATAGGTGATTGCAATGCCGTCCTCTCGGTTGCTCGCTCCGGGGCCGAGTTTGGGGCCACTCCTCGGGGGCGTTTCGGGGGTCTCTGGAGGGGGCTCTCTCGCCAGGACGGGGCCTACAGTGCGCTCATTAAGCAAAAAGCCCACGTCGAGGTCCCAACCTGCCCTGTTTCGGAGACAGATTGGCGTGCCTGGCTTAATGACCAGGCCGACCAGGCCGCCAAGCTAGCCTGTAAGCTACACCCCATGTCGGGCCAGGCTACGGCCAGCCTGGAAGACCAGCTTCTCAGGGTAAAGAAGTTTATGTATGCCGCCTCCCGTGTGCTCGAGTCGGGACCAGCCCCTCGGGATGAATGGAAGGACCTCAGGCGGCCGCACAGTGGCCGCACGCCAGCCTGTCTGATCGCTCACGAGTTCGTCCAGGTCGGGCCCTCCAGGTGGCAGTGCAAGCGATGTTTGCGGTCGAAGGTGACTCCAGACAGTGCCCTGGACCGTAAGGACTGTAGGCAAAGCGACATCCCTGAGAGTTTTAAGCGGGTGACTGAGTTTGCCCACACCCACGATATTGAATGGTGTGAGCTCACCCCTCGGCCCGAGGCCGGGGTCGGTGACACCCTTTTGTTCTGCAAGAAATGCTGCCAGTATGCCACCTCGAAGCCGCTGGGGCTGGGTAAAGCCTGCCCCAGCTTCGGTGTGGTCGGCTGGCAGCGTAATGAAGCTGCCCAGCACAAGATGCGCCGCTTCCTGCAGGGCAAGCACCCCAGGTGCGGCCAGAGCGAGATGATTATCGCGCACTGGCCCCTCTTAGCTCAGGTCTACGGGGCATGTGCCCCCGAGCCATAGCCATTGGCTCGCCTGTCTCTGGCCCCTGTCTCAAGCCAGGAAACAGTTTAGCGCGAGGCCTCCTCCTCCTCCTCCTCTGCCAACTCGCCATCCGCTCCTGACCCCTGGCCGTATCCCTCTGAGGTTGGCAGGCCCAAGGCAATGACAATCTCAGGGAATGTAGCCTCGAGAACTGGGGGGATCATTGGGATCGGCTCCGAAGTGAGGTTGCGCCACTCATAAGTAGAGGGGTGTGTGTTCGGGCTAGTGCTCCGCCAGCAACTCCTGACGTCCACCACCCTGACCTTCCAGGAGGGCACAAACAAATAGCAGCAGGACGCTCGAAATGGCCCAAGCTTTACAGCATATAGTCTGCCTGGAGGGATGCGGCAAACTCGTGTTGTGACGACCTTGGCGTTGGTTACTTACACCGCGTGGATCGGTCGATCGGTCAACCTTGAACGATCGGCAGCTTCTCGATCGCCAGATTTGCCAATTCGGGGCCACAAGCGGCGGTTAAGCTTGAACGCCCGCGCTGGTATCACCACCGGGTCGACACGACACGGGGGTTGGGAGGGAGAGCGAGCGGGAGGTGAGAGAGGGGAGAGAGGGGGAGGAGGGTAGCGAGGGCTTGGAGGCAAGCTAGGGATCTCGTCATATCTGACATCCGCCCCCTCCCACACATCCTTCCCCATTGCGCTAACTGTTGTATATCCGCCGACGGGCCTCATAGCGGACCTGACTCTCCAAGAATGGCCCATCCTCGCGTTCTACACAAGCAGAAGGGGAGCTGTGTACATTTGAGGAGGTTGGGGAGGTGTGGAATAGAATAGACCAATCACGAAGCGATGAAACGAGACCTGAGCACAGGCCAGAGCATGGTGCTCGGCTTGGCTTGGGCGAGTACTTGGAACACTTGCCCTCGTACGCCTGACTGATATAAAATTCACGGACAGATGTGGGGAGACCAACAACTCGAACCCCAAACATACCGAAGCTGAGCACCCCCCATTAAAAAAAACCATTGATACATAACCAAACTTTAAGATTCGTGTGATAATACATGCTCTGAATAGGATGCGTGAAACCGGCCCCTATATGTATACACTGACCCCCAGCAACCCCAAGCATGTAGAATTGTGCTGAGGAGTGAGATCCGGACACGGGCTAGCTCTCGACTTGGTAAGGGCGTACTTTGCGGCATTGCCCCTGCATCGCCTGCAAGATCGCCCATCGTCCGAGAGCTGGTGGTTCGATCGACACAGGGCCACAGCGGCAGAGGTGGGCGGATGATGGCGCTCTCCGGTTTACACGGGGCTTCCTCTTCTGGGCTGCGATCGCATCGAGATTGGAGCGCAACATTTGTTTCTGACAAGGCTGGCTGTGTGCTCGGCTGAGGCAGCGATGGTTCTGGTGGCGCCTGGGAGACGAGCCTCCCCAACCGCCAGCCCTGCAAGCTCGTCGGCCGCCGTACGCGCCAAAAACATCCAGAGAGGGCACGAACCGTGGGCGGCTGCTTGGGCGGCAGAAAAAAACATCTTTTCTGGCACCGATATGCACTGACCGACCTGTTGCCGGTGGCAAGAATAGTGAAACCTCGACTGTGACGCAGCCCGAACATCAACGCAGTCAGCTCGCCTCTGGGAACTGTTTGCTCTGACCCTACCATCGGACCACGAACAATGGCAGAAACCTGGTACGGGCGAAAGGAACTGGCAGCCGCGCCCCCGACCCCCACCCTCTTTAGAAGACTGTCGCGGGAGTCCTTGCCCCTTTCTGGCGCCGCCGAACAGAAAGAAGGGGGTCCCGTGGGCAGCCCCGAGGGAGGGGGGCCCGAATCGTTGGCCCCACTGACCTCCCACATGGGCCCCGGTCCAGCTCGCAGGCAAGATGCCGCGCAACCAGAAGCAGGCTTCCGACTTGTGCTGTGCAAGGTCCTGGGGGAGTCTTCCCCACCGC